TGGGCCAAATGGCCCATTCCCGCGAGCCCAGACAATCCTGATGTGGACAGAGTGACCCACTTGCTCCGGAAATAAAGATGTAGAAGCAAAGAGCCCTCAAAGGTGAACTCCAGAAAAGTGGTTTTCCTTGATGTCAGGGAAACCTCATAAGATTAAAGAGAGGAGCATTTTGTTTGCTCTTATCAAAGCTATTTTTAAAGTCTTTTGTGTTTGGGGGTTCTATGTGTTCGAACAGGATTACAGTCCCCATGCAGCTGCGAGATATTTGGTTGTCTCTCGGGGGCTGCTGTTCTGATGCTATTCCATCTGGTAGGAAGGGGGAAAAAAAAAAGAAAAACCACAAAGAGAAACAGCCTGGGAAGATTTGCACAGGCCTTTAAGAAGAGGCTGGGGTCTGGCTCTGAACCGAGCATTCAGGGAGGCCTGACCTCGATCCCCCAGCACTGTAGAAACCACCCACCGTGGCCCAGGCCTGTCCTCCTGTCACTGGGAAGTGGAGACAAGGGGACCAAGAAGTCCAAGGTCATCCTTGACTGCACCGCAATGTTGGTCCTGTGTAGCTCCGTACAGACGGCCTTTTTTTTTCCCTCCTAATTTCCCACTCCCCAGTTTCTGAGCCCAAGGCGATTTGGAAAACCTTGCGGCCAGCTCATCACCCATCAAGCAGGGGTAGAGGGTGTCAGTTTTCCGGTGTCCTAGAATTTCAGCTAAACCGTCAAGGTGATGGGAAGGGTAGGCCTCCTCTCTGGTGGAGAGGTGGTCAGGCCTGTCCCTTGGCCATCTGTAACTCTCAACCTCCAGCCTACACATGATAAGGTCAAGATCTTATCTAGAAGTTTCTCTGACAAGTTGATCCTGTTCCCCAGAGGCCAAGCGACAATTTCAAAGCATGCTTGGGCTTGAACCACCCTGAAAAGACTGAGCCAAGGGTGTCCTGGGAGCTGGAGGGTGTGCTTCCTAGAGCAAGAGTGAAAACAGGGACGTGGGAAGTCACCCCTGCGTGCCTTAACCCTGATAAGGTTCCTAGGCCTTTAAGGCACTAATGAGTCCCTGTATGCCCCACGGGTCACCAGGACACAGTGAGGCAGCTGATACTCTGTGCCCATCATTTCTCAGCTAGGATGGCCCCTTTCCTGCTCAGTGCTGCAGGGCATAGGGAGCAGGCAGGGAAGGAGACATCCACTCCTACCTGGAGCCCACAGCAGACTCCAGAAAGGGAAGAGGGGGCGGGGTCTTAAATTCCAGGCTATAGGCTACAATAGACCCTGAAGGGTAGGGGTCTAGGAGGGAGGAGACTTCTACTGAATCTACCCCACTCACTAGTTAGGACTGCCTGAGCAGACCAAGGCGTGGTTAGCAAGACTTCCCAGGAAGACTAGAGAGACAGCTTGGCCTCTGAGGGCAGGGTAATGCTCAAAACCACCCGTAAGGGACGTCTGTGAACATGGCCTCAGGCCCCTCAGCATAGCCATCACAAGTCACGTGGGCCTGGCACCTGAAAGGAGGTGTGCCGTCTCCCATCAGGTTCCTCTCCATTGTCTCCTTTCCACTAAAACCTCCGTGTGCGGTGTCTAATGGTAAAGTCGGATCACGTGGTACTCAGTGGCCGGAAAGGTTCGGAAAGAGCACTTCAGGGTCTGCGAGAGGGCTCAGGGGCGAAGGGGCTTGCTGCCAAGCTTAAGGACCCGAGCTGGAGTCCCGGGACCCACGTGGTAGAAAGAGAGAACGGACTCTTGAAATATGTCCACCCTGTCTCACATGCACACATATATGCACACTTGTGCACACACACACACATAAATAAATACATATAATAAAGATTAATACAAATTTAAAATTCTAAAAAAAGAGCATTTCTCCTATAGAGAGGTGGTTTCCATAACGTGGGCTGTTTTCAAATAGGACAAAGATGTACTTGCTATTGCTCGGCCAATTGATGACTTATGATTATTTTCATTGTCTAACTTTCGGTAGAGATATCTTTGATGACAAACAGAGAAGCCATTTTGGAATAATATCAAAGCCTCTCCCGCCATCACTATCGATTCCTGCTAAATTCTCTTCAGAGATCTGTAGAAGACCCTGGGACCCAAGGGGCCCATTTCAGGCTTCTGGAGACAGAAGAAGTCTAAGTGGGTGAGCTGATACAGGTGCCAGAAAAAAGGCTGAGAACATAAACTTTCACCAGGTGAATGGACTGTTGGCGTGACGCAGGTGTGGGCAGAGAAATCAGAAGAACTGTGCTTCTCTCCTCAATCTATAGGGACAAAACAAGGGAATTTGGGGAGGTTGATTTCCCAGAGAAGAAGAGAAAATGAGTCTGAAAATGGCATTTTCTAGCTTGGGATAAATGACAGATTTGGATGCACCGTGGGGCAAAAGGCTGAGAAAACATGTAGAAAGTTCCAGAAAAAAAAAAAACAGTTTTCAAAACTCTTGCCATACTTAGCAGGTTAGGTCATAGGGGCAGGGAGAGGGGACTTCGTGAACAAGGATGATGGTGTCACATTGAGACAGAAACACACCTTTCATCCCGCTTGGCTGACAGAGCTGAGCTGTGATCATTCCCCCATGTCTCTTCAGGGCCAGACAGTCATTTGGAGACTCTATATGTCTCATACACAATATCTGCCACCAAACAAAAATTCAACAAGGCTCACTGATAGGACCAGATCATTAAAAACAAAGAGAAACATAGTAACTAGAAAGCTCCTCAAGGGTGAACAGATGCTGGGGTCAGAGGAAAGTAACCAATGTTAATAAGTTCAAGGGAAACAAAGAAGAATGGAGAAAATAGGAGGGAGACAACTTTGTGGTAGAACTGGACTCTGGAGACTTCGTAGTGCTTAAAATTGGTTGCCTGACCTCATTATGGATAGAGAGTGTTCTGCATATATGGTGCTGGGGATGGGGCCCAGGATCGGAGCATGCTGGGTAAAACGCTCTGCCACTGAAGCACACACCCAGCCCACCAGACATTTGGAACATACCGATGCCACTCTGTGTGAGTTCTAAAGCCTCTGGCTCCAAGTTTACAAATCAATTTGATCCAACTTGGCCACCAGTGGTGTCCTCTCTCTTCAGGCCACAGGTGGCTTGCTGGCTTGCTCTAGGAATGACCAACTTTAGCATATGTTCTGAATCTCACACTGCTCTTGGCCGAGCCCTCTAGAATCCCAGAAACGGGAGAAAAGGATGCCTTTTGCTAATATGTTCTCTCTCTCTCTCTCTCTCTCTCTCTCTCTCTCTCTCTGGAGGGAAGGGTAATTGTTCTGTGTTCTCAGGCTGACCTCAAACCCCTTTGTTCAAGCAGTCCTCCTGTCTCAGCCTCCCAAGGGGCTGGGACTTCAGGTACATACATGCCACACCAGGCTACTCAATATTGGAAACACAGCCTGTGAGCAGTTCCTTAGGGATACAATTGGATCTGTCCGTCAGAGATGGGAGGCCCCCTCGAGACATTTGACTTCACCCTGAACGACAAGAAAAAAGTCAGAGAGAAGAGAATGAGGGTGAAGTGTGGTCGGGGCGGAGTGTGTATAGAGAACACTGATTTAATCAGGAGTTGGCACAGCTCCCTGGAATGAGCCACAGAGTAAGTATTTTAGCTGCCATGAGCCATGCCATTTCTGCTGCAACCATTGGCTCTACAACAGGGCAGAAGTAGCCATGCACCATTCATAAGTGGGTGGTAAATGTGAGGCTGCAGCCTCTCCAGCTGTCCATGTGCTATCCTGATGGATGCTATTCTCCTAATAGTGAAACCTCCTGGGGTAATTCATCTCCGTTCCTTTCTATCCAAACTATAATATAATCTTATTTATTTATTTATTTTGAGACAGGGTCTCACTACGTAGCTCTGGCTTACCTGCAACTAACTATATAGACCAGCCGGATGGACTCCCAGAGATCCACCTGCCTCTGCCTCTCTAGTGCTGGCGTTAAAGGCTGGCGCCATCACATGCGGCTAAGAAGAAAGGTCTTATCTTTTATTACTTCATAACAAATTGGTAGAGAGTACTCTGTGAGTATACGGATACCTCACTTCAATTCCTGGAACCCACGGTGGAAGGAGAGACTTGACTTCGCAAACTGTGCTCTGACCTCATAGGCACGCTGCGGTGCACGTGTCGCCCCTCCCCCCACCAATTAATAAAAAGCGTATCTGTAACAGAGGCACTCCAGTAAAACTTCATTAGCTGCATAGTGAAATGTGGATTCCTTGTATCTTTCCCCGCCTGCGACGTCTTTAAAATGTACACGGGTGTTTTCTACTCCAGTAGCCTAGGCGGCTGACAAAGGGTAGGGTTGGGAGCTGGAGTTACTCCACAGAGGCCAACAAGCTAGCAATGGGGAGCAAGACAAGGCCTCCTGTCTCTCTGCAAATGGACCCTAGCTAGATCGAGCCCAGGTAGTCGTCGTCCCCATAACCGCCCCAACTCAAGGAAACTCATTAAGCCCCCCACCCCACCCCTGTCCCCTGTCCCCTGTCC